CTAGCTGTCAGTCCGAATTACATTCAGTTGTTGGGCACCCTGTATGTGTGTCCTGTGTGTGTGTGTGTGTGTGTGTGTGTGTGTGTGTATGTGTATGTGTATGTGAGTGTGTGTGTGTGTGCGTGTATCTAGGAACAGAGCCCCAAATGCTGTAAAACAAAATCATGCCTCTTAATCACCTTAAAAACACACTCACACTTCCCATCTGTACCTCATGGGCTGTCTTTGCATTGCAAAGGACACATTTTAACCAACCTCATGCCTCACCCAGCTAGACACGCACATATAGGGACGTGGTAGACACACTTCACTGACATCCTTACACCTCATATCTCTTCCTGTTTTCAGTTCTGCTGCTTAGACATGACCCCTAATAACCTTTCTGGTCTGCCTCCTGCCCTGCTGTGTCTGTGTGTGTGTGTGTGTGTGTGTGTGTGTGTATTGAGAAAGAGATCATGAAAAGATAAGGGATGTTGCCCTCAGTGAAAATTACAGTGAATCTCATGACACAAATAACATACCGTAATCATAGTCATAGAGACATTTGCTATAATGTGGCACAAAAAAGAAAGCAGAATAAAGTGAGAAATTATGAAAAAAGAGAGTTTTTAAAGATCTGTGCAGAGTTGGATTATAGAAATTGAGAAACTAAAAGCTTAACAAACATCTGATCACAAACACAGTGCTGTGGAAACTGACAGCAGGTTGAAATGGGGTTTACAGGACTGGAGGGCAAGACGAGACTACCGCAGGCTTCAGGCTCAGCTGCCACAGGGCTGCGGTGGTGTTCTCACACCCCTCACTTCCTCAGCCTTCTCACGCAATGAGGCTCACTACTGCTCCATGTGCACATTTGAGTGTGCACGTCATGAAAGCTACAAACTCTGCCCGTGCGTTGAGATGGACTGGGTAGAAGGTTACAAGGAAATGTAAAAAAAAACAAAAACAAGGCGTTGTGACAGATGAGTGACGCAAATTCCATTTGTTTCATTTTCTTTGCTTCACGGGCAGAATGTTGAGAATGTTGTAGTTCATGAACATAAATAAAGTAGATAAAAAGACATGGACAAGACATAGAACACACATATAGCACATATTGTAAGCAGTTAGTATATTGCTTAAAGTGCTGATCTAGAAAACATTTAAGCACAATAGAGTGTTTAGGACCAAGAATGGTCCTTAAATAAGCACAACGACCCAAAGGTATGTTTCATGCAGCCACTGAATTTCATAAAAACCTATATTGTGATGACCTCTAGTGGGTGTTACTGGATACAGCATTAGATCTGCCATTAGTACTGTATGAAGATTTTTTCTGTATTTAAACTATTCAATCCTAACGTCATAAGGCAGTAAATTCAAATCAACCAATTCAAAAATAGGTACAATAAAACAATGC